TTTCTCGACCTGAAGGCGGCATTTGACTCCGTTGATCGAGAAGTCTTATGGCAATGTCTGTCACTGAAAGGCGTGCCTAGTAAGTACATCACCTTATTGAAAGCTCTCTACTCGAACACTTGTGGGCATGTTAGAGCCTATGGCGAGTTGTCCAGGGAGCTATACTCATCAAGTGGTGTCCGTCAAGGATGCCCACTATCCCCATTCTTATTTAATTTTATCATAGATATTCTTATGGAGGTTTCCCTCTCGTCACCTAATCACAGGAGCATTTTCCTTAGATCTAGAATATGCAGATGACATAGTCCTGTTAGGTGAAGACGCTGACAAGATGCAGAGTCTTCTGAACACTTTGAGTGGGAATTTGAGAATGTTTGGGATGCGATTTTCACCACCCAAATGCAAATTTTTGCTCCAGGACTGGTCTTCAGCGGTACCGCGGCTAACAATAGAGAGTGAAGTGGTTGAGTGTGTTGACCACTTCACTTACCTGGGAAGTAGGATCAACCCTGGTGGGTTAGTTGCCGATGAGATTTCTGCACGGATACAAAAGGCTCGATTGGCTTTTGCCAATTTGCGCCACCTATGGCGCCGCCGTGATATTCGTTTGTCTATTAAGGGTCGCGTGTACTGCACAGCAGTCCGCTCTGTTCTACTGTATGGCTGTGAAACATGGCCATTGAAAGTGGAAGATATAAGAAGGCTTCAAGTGTTTGACCACTGTTGCTTTGTAGTATAGGCCACCGTATTCCTTGGTGTAACCACGTGAGTAATGCAGAAGTCAGGAGTGGAGTTTTAGGGAGCAGAGGTAAATCAGTAGACAAGGTTATAAACCTTCATCGATTGAGATGGTTAGGACATGTACTACGCATGCCCAGTCACCGATTGCCTCGTCACACAATGTTGGTCGAAGTAGGTGGAGGCTGTAAAAAGGCCCGAGGTGACCAGACTAAAACATGGCACCAATGTATGAAGTCTCTGACTGTTGGTTTGAGCCATGTGGGGCGATGCAGACTAGGTGGTTGGGGTCTGCGAAACAAGAGGAACCAGTGATTGGAGACTCTAGGTGATGTGGCCGATAATCGATGTCAGTGACGCAGATGTATACACACACTATCCTCATGTTAACGACGCTATACCGAATCTCACCATTTTGTCATTCCTCTTTCTTTCTTTTCATACTTTATATTTCTTTTGACTGCATTCTCTTATCTTCATCCTTCACCTCCCTATCTTTCTACTTGACGTACTGATATAAGGTGTGACAAGTGGGACCGTTACGCAGTAATGCCTGGTCCTGTGTTGATATTGATTGATTGGTTGGCTGATTTCGACTCACTTGCATTCCTCACAGACGTTCTACACGCATGGTATAATGCGAAAAATCGCATGGGTGGCTCAATACGCATGTGTGAAAGTAAACTTAGACTCACAAGGCAAGAAGAGAGATAGCAACCGCCAAGACCTCTGGAGTCAGTGGTTGTCACACGGGGACTGACCAGTGGGTTAGATACATCGAGTAAAGAAGCTCCCGCTGCCACAGCCCCCACCCAAGTTGAAAATAAAACGCAAAAAAAAACGGAACGATGCCAGTCCTATGAGGACTGGGGACGCTAGACCCAACCACATAAGCGCTCCTCTCGTGAAAATACACAACCAGTCCTCCCCTCTCACCAGGTGCACTCTAACATGTATATACAGCAACGTTAGGGGCCTAAGAGGGTAAGTAGAAGATATGAGGACGCTGCGTGAACGTCAGCACTCTGACATCGTATTTATCACCGAATCCTGGCTCTCGCCGGACATCTCCGAAGAAGAGATGCATGTTACTGGCATGGAACTCTTCCGCAGGGACAGAGAGCTCAAAGCAGGAGGGGGATTGTCTCTCTACGTAAGCTCCCGTTTAAAGGCAAGGGTGGTTAGCGATACCCCCTTAACTCAGCTCCCAGAATCTCTGGTGCTACTTCACTCTCCACCCTACCAAATACCTGCTCGGAGTCATATATCGGTCCCCTACCAGCTCCCCTACACGTAAGGAAATGGCTATCAAAGCAATCTTAACGACTTCCTCTGCAAATTACGATTCCGTAATCATTGCCGTCGACTTCAAAACCCCGTCCATCCTCTTCGAGACGGAAGGGAGACACATCAGATCCTTCAGTCAGAAGGTGAAGAATGCAATTAAGACTTCTGGCGTCCCGGAGAAAGTGAGTGATGCCACACGCTGGGGACCTAACGGAAATGCATCGCGCTTTGACTACGTTCTGATGAACGATGACCTCATTGAGGATGTATGCATCCAACCTCCCCTTGGCCTCAGTGACCACGCAGTAATAACTTCCACGATTACTGGGGAGGCCCTGCAACCGGAGACGTCCAACACCTTCCCTTGCCACAGCAAGGCCAACTATGAGACCTTGAGGGACTATCTCATGAATGCATCATGGTATGTAGACTGGACCCAGGTGAAGAAAATAATCTCTGGGGCCATCAGTCACAGTGCACCAGAGGTAACACATAGACTGTCAGTGAGAACCTCATGGCTAAAGCGTGGGAGAGAGAGGCTTATCCAGAGCAAAAGGCAGACTTGGTTCAAGTGGCGTTCATCACGCAGGGAGTCTGACTGTTTGAACTACAAATGGATTCGCAAACGCTGTAACATTAGAGTGCAGAGCGACAAATTCTCCTATCAAACAAACCTGGCGGAGAGGTTACAAAGCAATCCCAAAAACCTGTGCCGCTTCATGTCGAGAAGGAAGTCGACCAGCAAGGGAGTGAATCTTATCACAGGTCATGATGGGAGTGTACTAAGCAGTCTAGAGATTGCCGAGCTTTTGAGCCCACACTTTCAAGCCCAACTTAGTACCGACACTGAATCCACACTGACTCGTTACGACACTGACCAGGTCATAAATAACGAATGCCTCTGCCACATCTCAATCAGAGAAAGAAGTGTTAGAGAAACTATCTAGGCTACGTCCAGGCAAGCCCCCTGGCTGCGATAACCTAAAACCGGTGATCCTAAAAATCTGAGCCCAGGTGCTTGCAAAACCAATCTGCAACCTCTTTAAGCACTCAATAGAGTCGTGCAAACTTCCTAGAGAATGAAAGTGCGCCATCTTGTCACCCATCTTCAAAGGAGGAGACTGAAAAAGGCCTGGCAGATACAGGCCAATCGCTCTACTCCCTATTGTGTCGAAAGTGTTGGGAAGCCTGGTAGCTGACACTATCTGGGAATTCCTCAATAGAGAAAACACAGTGCATACTGCTTAGCATGGATTTCGGAGTGGTCGCTCACATGCCACCAACTTACTAACCGCCTGGGACGACTTGACACTCAGCTGGGACAACAGAGAACCGGTACATGTTGTTTTTCTCGACCTAGCCAAAGCATTTGACAGTGTCCCAACCACAGTCCTGCTTCACAAGATCATGTCAGCTGGAATAAGTGAACCCCTACTCTCTTGGTTCAAGAAGTACCTGGAAGGGTGGCAGTTCTATACCAAAGTAAACAGAATAGGGTTGGAGTGGGGGCCTTCGACGTCAGGAGTATCCCAAGGTGCAGTCCTAGGACCGCTTCTGTTCCTCCTGTTTGTCAACGATCTACCAGACAAAATATCCTCACCCATCCTGCTCTTCTCTGACGACATTAAAATTTGGAAGGTGATAAACGAAGCTGACTGCACAGCCACTACAAAAGGACTTGCAGCAAAACCAACTCTAGTCGTTGGAAAATGGCCTGAGCTTCAACCTGGAAAAGTGCAAGGTAATGCACATCAGTAAATATGAAGCAAGTACAACCTACTTCCAGTACATGTTGAGCAACCGCGCTGTCACCAGTGTCCATGGAGAAAGATTTGGGGCTCAACTTCTCCGACACCTTGAATACCAGCTCCAACTACAAAGGTATGACAAGGAGAGCGAACGCCATTCTACACTTTCTGCGTAGATAACTTGGCACCATCACCCCGAACTCTTCCTCACCGTTTTAAAATCCTATGTGCGGCAGCATCTAGAGGTCTTCAATACGGTGGCTCCTCCAACACTCAAGAGAGACTCTAATCTCCTTGGAAAAGAATACAAAGAACCGCAACAAAAATCAGTCGTGAGTCTGAGTGGGAAGGCTTATCCTGAAATACTTAAACACCTAAACCTATTTGCCTTGGGTATCGCAGGAAGAGGGGTGACCTCATTATGGCCTACAAGACCGCCCATCAGGCAGACCACGCAAACAAATCAATTTTGCCTGCAACTCAGAGGTCTTCATAAGGAAACCCCGTTAAGATAGCACACCAGAGAGCCAACACCATACTCAGGTCCGATTTTCCTCCCTGAGGGTATATACTTTATGGAATGCCTTACCGCGACGTATCGTTGTAGCTCCCTCAGTCGACTCATTCAAGAGACGGTTTGACAGTTATGTCGCCTCCCATGGCCTACCACGGACGTACTCAGGTAATCATCAACCTCACTAGCTCAGCCTCACCCCCCTCCTACCTACCGCTCACTATCTCGCTCCTTAATACACCCATATTACCTACTATTTCCTCCGTAGGAACTAAACCTACGCTGTCTATTTCTACCATCCGGGCAATTCCCACATACTTTTCTCTCTCTTTTGTTCCTCCTCTTCACTCCTTTTCTTCTTCTTTTTTCTTTCCTTTATCTCTTCCTTCATTTTCCTCGTCCTTTTCATTTTTTACCACTACCTTACTACTCTCTTTCAGGTACCTACACAGACAGGAGTCACGGCAGTCCCCTAAACTTCTCAGCAACCCGTAGCTCCCCAATCGCTCCACAAATTACAACTTACTAACCCACAAAACATTCACCCCACCGGGCTAGAGGCAAAAAAGCAGAGGGGATTTCCTCGTCTACTGCAGGAGTGAGCCGAACAACTCGAACCAAGCCCTAAGAACTAGACGCGAGAGATCAAAAACTATCAGTTTTCTACGCTCGCACTATCAATATTGGATATTGGAAGGCGATATTGTGGAACTATGTTCAGAACACTAACGGACATACCTACGTGGATTTCAATCGCCAAGGGTTCGTCATACCTTAATACTTTATGTATATTTGTATAGATAAGTAATACATGATGTTTTTCTGAATTTAAAGGAATCTAAGCCAATGATATATTATTTTACCAGATTTCAGAACTAGTTTTGCCTGTATACCTTTGGGTATTTCATTAGAATCTGACTTTATGTTGATTTTCTTTTATCTTACTGTTCATTCACTTCATGTCACAATACTTTGATGACAGGTGCTTTAGAAACAAACATGGTGTAGGGAACCCAAGTAACCATAACCTTACCTCTTTCTCCTTTTTCTTCATTTTCTGATGCCAATATTATGCCTCATACAGCTTCCTCAACCCCTTACCTTTCGGTCCAAGCTACTAAAGCACGATTTCTAAATCCCCGCTGTTGATTTCACATAGAAGCTACTAATATTTGAACCCAATCCTGGATCGAACAATAGGCATATCTTTTCAAAATTATGGGATTGGTCATAGATTTGTGCTGTTCCTGAGGCGAATATACGTGACTTGCGTGTCGTTATTACCTTGACCCCACCATTCTAATGAGGTAAATCTGAAAAACCCATTTTAAAATTGTCTGGAGATTCGATGATTATTTCTTATAGATTCGCTGGTGTAGCTATAGCATTAAGCTCTCGAGAGAAAAGTGCACTTCTCGACTGGATACGAGTCAACGGCCGTTTCTGTCCTGTCCGACTGAGTGGAAGAGTCGTGACACTTGCCGATGCCTGCATTTATTCACCAATCGACCGCAGTTCATGTGATACAAGGGATGAATTCTGTTCAAAGCTGTCAATTTCACTACATAAGGCGAAATATTCAAATATGATCATAGCATGTGACTTCAACGCTCAGTTAGGAAAACTGAACCAATAGGAAAGGCATTTACAGTATCTTATGCCAGCAAGCCGACAACAGTGATCGTCTCTCGTAAATCTCTTAAGTCACTTGTTTCTGGCGAGCGTTAGTTTCAAGTATAAGGAAAGGCACTATCTCATTTGATTTCCGCCGAAATCAAGGCAATAAGGGACATAGATTATATTGCCATAAGCCATCGTTGAGAAGGATTGTTTCACTTTTTGGAGTTCCTACTTGATCGCAAGAAACAAGTGGCAGTAAAGCTTGTGTCCTCGATTGGGAAATGAAGACGTCAAGGACGTACTTAGGAAATAGCTGAGCACTTATCTGGACGTGACAGCAGTCCTCATCCTGAGGAAACCTAGTATGATATTCAGTGAGTAGCTTGATGGTGAAACAACTAGGCTTAGCCGACCATAACTACAGCAGTACTGTGTACAAATCCTAACTTCATATTTGACATCGGATTTAACCAAAAATATTTACTTACCAAAAATAATTCATGTGCTTATAAAAGTACCTGTTTGCTTTTCAAAGTGAACGGTTTATTTGATAAATTTTCTGTTACTGCCTGTAAAGATTTTTTTCAAGATTTGAAATTATTATATTGGCTTTAAATCACCGATTTAAGTACTTCAAATGGACTTCCAAGTTTTTAGGCATCTTATGAACTGTTTTGTCCTTTACTTTTGGTAACATTTAGAGGAACATTTTCTCAAATTTCAGACAACACTGATAAGCAAAATATAGATGTAAAGTTGCTGTCAACATACATTTCAAATGTTTTCGGAAATAAAAAACACTTGTACACTTATGGCATACATTTTTATCTATAGAAAAGGGAAATTCAGTGTCAAATTTAGGATCACGTATAAGTTTATGGCGTGGAGATATAACACATCTTCAAGTTGATGCTATTGCAAATGCTGCCAATCCTCAGTTGAAAGGTGGTGGGGGAGTAGATGGAGCTATCCATAGAGCAGCTGGTTCGCAGTTATTGACAGCTTGTCAAAAGCTTGGTGGTTGTCCAACTGGTGATGCGAAACTAACTCCAGGATTCAACTTACCTTCGAAATGTAAGAATGACTTTCAAACATATTTGTGTGATTTTCATCTTTTGTTCTCGTAAAATGAACATCGTGTTCCATGCTGTTTTTCTTATTTGACTTAATTGTTTTTCTGTATCAGTTGTTACTTATATGTCTCCAGTTTTATTTTTGTAATCTTTAGGTTTAATACCTATAGTATAACTCCTGTCGAACAGATCTGTCTTTCGACTCTTGTTAACCCTGAAAGTAGGTGTAATTGAATTTGAAAAGTCCCTATATGCTCTCTTCTCCTTGCGTCGTTTTACTGAAATATCAAGATGTAAGCAGGTGTTTATTGTAACTGTGTTACGAATCTTTATTGCATATCAAACGTCACTAACTTGTTTCGAAGGAAATAGTTACTGTATCATTTCCTAATGTATCATGGCTATCATCGGAATGGGAATTTGTAACATCTGGTAACTTAGTGATTGAACAGTTCAGATGCTTACGGTGATTTTTCCATTTGCCTTGGATATCTTGGGACTGCCAAAAACCTTACTCGAAACATGATAACATGCATAAAAATTTTCATACTAGCTGGAGCCACTCTATATGCTCCCACGTAACTTTTACTTTTCCACTTAATATAGTTTTTTAGACAATTTTCCCAAAGTATTAATGAGAATTCGTCACTTATTGTGTCAACCAAGTCGGAGGTGAGGTGGATGCCCACCGATGAAACTGGATGATGTTCGCACTGTATCACGAATTGGAAGAAGTAGGAAAAGTGAATCACTGAATTCTGACCCACCACTTGTAACGAAACCTGACGATCCTAGGACCAGTCGTGCACTGTCAAGGAGTCTAAGGCTAAGATGGAACAAATCCACTGCTACCCGTTTTTTGACAGCCTTCTATCTGACATCGATACCCGATAAAAAAAGTTTCCTTCTCATCTTTCTCGCAAATGTACATATTGAATATCAAAAGATTTTGGCAAAGCCTTTGAAATACTCAACAGTGATATATCTTGTACCTTAAGAACAACATATTCCGGTGTTGATAGCGATCTGAGTTGTAGTCTGTGAGTAACGAGATGAAATGCACTGAGCAACCTTGTGCACATTCTTGCAGTAGGTATTGAGCCACAGTAATTATGTGACGGTTAGTGATACTATCTGACTCCCTAAACCCCAGTGGTGGGAAAGGGGACTTGAGCCCGTGGCCCATTGGTTGAAAGTCATCTCCCTAAACCAATGAGCCACAGCTCATCTGCATGAGAGTTGAATCTGGATTTGCCATACACCCCTCAACAATTCATCCATTCCTGTCCAGGTTGAAAGTAAATAATTAGTAGACGGTAAAGGAAATAAAATTCTCGTTTTTCTGTTCGCCTTATACGTAACGTCTCCACGAAAATTTGTCTACAAACATTGTGGTTTGCACTAATAGCCTACCGGTTCAGGTGCAGAACATAGTCATCTATGTTACCATAGACGCATTGTTGAACAGTTGCATATTTATCTACTGAAGGTTTATGGAGATTACAGCCTATTTCTAGGTGGCACCAACTTTTAGCATAGCTATATCATCGACGTTAAACCTGACTTTTCCCGATAACTCTGCTCAAGGGTTAAATTCAATTTATGATCAAATATTGATTGATAGCGTTGGAATTTATGAAACCACCTCTTCTTTTTGATTTCTTCTCCAAAATTCAATCATACTCATCCTGTGTAGTGCATAACCTAACTTTTCCATTCTATGGACTACTTTCAATGGATTTTCTTGGTTGAATACTACGATAAATTATCACACTGAGCTAAAAATAAGGCCAACTGTGAAGATATCATAGTACATCGATAAGCACCTTTAATCATATAAAAGCATGACAGTGAAGTCACTTGAAACTATTGGAAACTCTTAACCATCGTTAGTGCGTTCTAGTGCATAGCAGGTGTATCATTGCCAAAGTCTCGTAAAACATCTCAAAGTGTTTGAAAGCATTGTACTGTATTTAAGAAACGGTTTTTCTTCTGGATAACGGAAAAGTATATTTCCATGAGATATAATTTTTAAAGGTACTGTAAAGTCTGATCAGAAATTCGATAAGATAACTAAGTGGTATGGTACATCAGCAAACTAAACTGGAATGTTTATCACTACAGTCACTTCGTATTGACTTGTTTGATGAAACGGAGGTCTAGAAGTCACTTTTACTATCAATATGCAACACTGCGGGCACTCAGTATTACTTGATTCTGATTCTTCCTAGATACAGCGGTGTCATTTTAATCGAATACTAAGTAATTAGATGTTAGTTGAATGGAGGCAACCAACAGGAAACCCTGGACCTAGGTTTCGTGCTTTTTGGTACTCTTCACTAAGGCGTATCTTCAACCTCTAAGAAACTCATGTCCCACCTGAAATTCTAACCCGTGTCACCCAATTCTGCAGTCAGGGACGTTACCGTTGAGCTATTCGGGTCAGTCACGGTCCGAATAGCTCAGTGAAGATATGCCTTGGTGAAGAGTACCAAAAAGCACAAAACCTAGGTCCAGGGTTCCCTGTTGGTCGCCTCCATCCAACTAGTACCTATCAAAGTCCATCGCTATGTTGAGTCGGCTAGCCCGGTGGTCACATTGCAAAATGATCAATTAGCAGTCAGACCTCGTAGCTCAGTTGGTAGAGCATCGGGCTGGAAACCCAGTGGTCTCTGGTTGGAATCCGCTTGCGGTCCAAATTTTTATTTCACCTTGAATCATCGCCCAGTATAACTTCTGAAAATACCAACCGAAAATACTACTATTGTCTCTGATGTTTTTACTATGCAATTGTTTCAATGGCAACGCAGTGCCAGTCGTACTATGATGCAGAGATGCTCTTCAAAAAGTTTATAGTTCAGAAATTCTGTTCTGTGTAGGATTTTGTCCCTTTTTCTTTATCGATAATTTACTACTGGCCAGCTTACTTTGATTTTCCCGTTTATTGCATCCTAATTAACCCAATGTTTGCAGATGATTTTTACGAAAACTTGTTTTTTTAAGAAAAAATGGAAGTCGAAATGCACTCGGCAACTTTGTGGATGTTGCCTAGCTACCTAAACTTCGGTTGGGGGAGCGGATTTCGGATCCATGACCCATTGGTTGAAATTCTCCCTAAACTGATGAGCCACAGCTCCACATGACGTAAAACCAATAAAGCCTGTCCTTAGTTATGAAGTAACATTTGTACTGCTGACACTCATTTTTCGGTTTTAAACATATTGAGAGATTTAATGCCAATGTAGTTACAAAAGACCTGAAACAAAAGCCAATGTTTATTCGATACGCTGAGCTACAAAATTGACTGACAACCTGCTGAAAGTCTAAATACATTGATTTATATATATTGTTCTAAACCTAAAAACTGATTAGATGTTTGTGTCTTGAATGTGGCCGGGATGATTTTTTCCTGGAGGAGAGGATGGTGGGTGAGGTGAAACGCTACCATTATTGCGGATTCACAAATTATGATGAAATGTCTATATTTAGTCTTCTGGTTTTCATCAATTTCTCACCTGGTTATAAAGTATGCAAAATAATTTACCAACTCATCGAAGAACCAATCTGAAGAAAGATTTTGAATTGCTGCCTTTACTTTGTAGTTGTAATATCTCACTGCTCATCTGATGCGGTTATGCTGATTTCCTTCATCTCTGTGATTAGTGGAGTTGATTATTTCTTCGCTTGTAATAGCTTGGTGTTTTAGACTGTTGTACGGTTGTGAGACATGGCTGTTAAAAGTAGAAGACATGAAGCGGTCACAACGTTTTGATCATAGGTGTCTTCGTAGCATTGCTCGAGTTCGGTGGAATCACCGTGTTAGCAATGTTGAGGTCATACGAAGGGTAGTAGGCAAGACAGTCAAGTTGATTGATGAGGTTGTGAACCTTCGTTGTTTGAGATGACTTGCACATGTACTGTGCATGCCGACCACCACCTACCTCGACGTGCCATGGTAGGCTGGGGGAGGTTGGATTATGTTTGGAGATGGTTCAGGGTAGCGAGACTAAGACATGGTACCAGCCGATGAAGTGTCTGATTATTGTTCTTAGTCATATGGGGAGATGTAGACTGATCGGTTGGGGTCCTCGAGACGAAAGGAATCGGTGGTTGAGAACTGACTCCTGGTGAAACGGCTGAAAATCGGTCATAATGGCTCAGATGTATTCACTCCTTAGGATCTTCAAAAGCTTGAATATTTGGACTAACCGTTATCTTCAGATTGTTTATTCTCTGACACAACTTTGTCGATTTTGATATCAGTTTTTCTATCCGCCTTTGAAGTGTGGTAAGTTGAACCGATGTACTTATGTGAGGTTCTACATTGATTTTGTCGGTCAGTCAGACTGAAATCTTGAAAGTATTTCATTTTTTACCCTATCTTTAGATGTAATTCATTGTGTTGGCCCAGTGGGACGAAATGATTCAGCCTTAGAATCGACATACCGAAAGGCATTAGAGTTGTGCTTGGAGCATAACATTCAATCCATTGCATTTCCGTGCATTTCTACCGGGATTTATGGTAAGTTTCTGATCTTTTCACTGGGTTTACGGATTACTTCTCACTTGCTGCTATTTATGATACGTATAACCATATTCAGTGGTACCTTGAAATCAATCAGTCCACATGAACAATTAATTAATCACTGTCCAGTGTTGAGTAGTGACATGCTTTGAGAGAGATATCGTAGAGCTCCGGTGAGAAGTTGTGATTTGTGAGATAAGTTAAGACAGGCTCTAGCACAGGTAGTCGTCGATGGAACTGGATGATAGTCACGGTATGTCGCGAATTGACAGAAGTAGGACGATGTGAATCACTGAGGTTTAACCCTGTTGGCTGAATGGTAACGTACTCGACGTGGTAGATGACGGTCCTGAGCCTGATCCTTCATGTGACTATGGGTGTGCACTACTTAAGAGCTCGATAGTGGAACTCCCAGATTTTCAATGGTTCTGCAACTGATATCACTTCGTGATGAGTTCTGTTTAAAAAGGTTTTTGTGAACTTTCTCATATTCTGTACATTATTATAAAAGTAGTATTTTATCGAATGGAGTTTCGATCCAATACTCATCGGTTGTTGGTCTAAAAACGATTCAGTACGATGAGATCGAGTTATATGTGCTCTTAAAACGTAATTATTAGTTGAGAGCGCCCGAGTAATAAATGATGATCCCTAAGACCTAAATTGAGTGATTGTCGTACCTCGTCTACTACCGTGTGTTGAAATCCAACTATTACACTTATATACAGAAGAAGCCTAAGGTGAATTGAGTGGACAGTAGCGAACAGTTAATCATGGTTAAGAGTGAAGGCCACTAGGTATTCAGCAGCTTATCAATCTATGTAGGACTACTTTTCAGTCTGTGACAGTCATGTCGACAAACAAATAAAATCAACGTAGGACTCCACATACAAGTGCATCGGCTCAACTTGCCACACTTCACAATAGTAGACAAAGAACAGGTAGATAAAAAAAGGCTGATATCAAACTAGACAATTTGTGTTAGAGAATAAACAATCTGAATATGAAGGTAAGTGGAAATATTCAAACTTTAGGTATCAAGAAGTCAATGCATCTTTGCTATTGTGACTGATTTTCAGCCATGTCATGAAGAGTTCTCAACCACTGGTTACTTTTGTCTTGGAGATCCAATCCTGGCAGTCTACATCTCTTAACACGACTCAGACCGATAGTCAAGTAGTCCATCGACCAGCGCCACATCTTGATCTAGCCACCCTGAACCTTTCAACCTAATCCAACCTCCCCTTTGGTATCCTATGCATAGTTGTTACTATGTATACGATAAGGTACAAAGTTTACAAATAAAACTACGTTTATGATAAAGTCAATGAACTTGTCGTTTTATCGCTTAATGTAGATTTTCAAGTGTATACCTTTAGTTAGCGTCTACTCAAGTATTCTGTTCTTTTTCTCCGCTAGGAATTTCACCTTGTTACTCAAACTTGCTATTCTTCAAGTTTGGTTTCTTACTGTCAAAGTCAATCAGACATTTTTCTCATTCCAGCTACTTTTGCTTATAATTTAGGCTTTCCAAATGAAGCAGCCGCCAAGGTCGCGATCCGCACGGTACTTTCATACCTTAAATCTCATGAAGAGGTTAGTTTTTAACAACTTATGTGTCCATAAGTGATTTTTCGGTTGTGCCATTCTGCATGCTGAATTAACATCTCTCTTTGACCGTAAGTGTCAATAGTAATCAGAAGAGTAATGTGGATTTTTGAAAGTGATTATTTCTGGTGAGATACTTATGTGATATCTTACGGCTACCTTAGGAATGCTTACAAGGTGGAGTATACTAATTAGAGTTTTGACAGTTGAAGTGTCAAAGTGCTTATTTTGTCAGAGTAGCTTTATTTGTGTCGTTAATTTCATGAAATCGACAAGCACCAGTTAGGACTTTGCTTTTTGATTCAAAAGTCAGTGCTGTTACATCGAAGAAAAGGGAGAAGATTGTCGGTGTTTTCAACAACCTGAATAGTTTCTTCACTTAATCCTATTTGGGACTCGTCAGCCGGTAGATGTACTCACTTCCCAGTGAGCGATATTGCTGTTGAGACCCAAACGATATAACTCACTGGGAGGGCGAATCGGTCGGTCCAATCAACCACGGAGATTCACAAACTTTAAAATCAAAACTATACTATATCCGTAGCATAATGAGTGGCTATCGTGACTCAGTGGTTTGGTGAACAACGCTGTGGCCTTTAAAGTGGTCGGTTGTGGGTTACAGTCCTAAGGGGAAAAACATCACTCACTGGGAGGCAGGCATATTCACCAACTGATGAGTTCCAAATAGGACGAAACATGTGTACTGGACCTCATTGCTAACCACTATTCGTGATTAGTATCAAAACTGATCATATACCAATAGTTACCGATCAATTCGGTCCAATCAACGACGGAGATTCATCAGCTATGACAAAACAATGTTATGTTTTCTGGGTTGTTATATCCCCAAAAATGTGTTGTTTTTTTACCTAGTTTTCACAAACGTACCTTATTAACAAATTTGAATTATCTTTTTCCGCCTCGCATGTATCGCTCACTTTTACCACATTTAAGAACGCTGTTTTCTTATTGGTTAATTGTCCACTTCCAGTATGCCAACTTGTCTGTTGGCCCCATGATCTTCACATTGCGCGTAAGACTTTCGACCCTAATTCATAATTTGCGATTGAAGCAAGCTGTCTTCAGTCCAATAATGTCTCTTCTCCCTTGTGTTAACCGAGCGAGTTTCCAAGCATCCCATTACTCATCCAGTAACTAGATTATGCGTCTATAACCAACTGTATCCGAGACTTTCAACAATGTTACTCAATTCTTTGGTTTCCTGTTTTGCGCGCTATAGAGGCCTATAAAATATAGATATGAAGTTCTCTGAAGCCAGTATAATTAGTTCTAAATTATAAAAATGACTTTACATCATTCAATACGAGGATTGTTTCACACGGTAAAATATATTTCTACGAAAAATCTCTTCTGTTGAACAGAAATAACACTTCGTTTGTATTTTTCAGATTCAACGTGTCATCTTCTGTATATTCATGGATATAGATTATGAGATTTATAAAAGTTTAATCCCAGAATTGTTAGATGCGTACCAGTGATCCAGTTGTTTTTGATTTTCCTAAGGAGAATATCTTTTCACAACTATTTGGTCAACTTTCGTTTGCATAGAAAATCAGTTGAAAGTAGTCAATATTTCATGTTTTCTCCGCTATCATTTTGTCTTTATATTCAATCTGTTATATAAGAAAGAAATTCTACATAACATTACCTGTGTTATTGAATTTTCATGTGTGTTTCTCCTTTCTCTTTTCCACTGGTATCCTACTGTCTCGGATTCTATCATATAGGCTCATTTGGCATTTGCTAACTTACGTTACCTGTGGCGCCAACTGGTGATACATCCAAACTATCTATCGAAGAACAAGTATACTGCGCTGCACTTCCTTCTGTTCTATTGTACGACTGTGAGACATGGCTGTTAAAAGTAGAAGACATGAAGCGGTCACAACGTTTTGATCATAGGTGTCTTCGTAGCATTGCTCGAGTTCGGTGGAATCACCGTGTTAGCAATGTTGAGGTCATACGAAGGGTAGTAGGCAAGACAGTCAAGTTGATTGATGAGGTTGTGAACCTTCGTTGTTTGAGATGACTTGCACATGTACTGTGCATGCCGACCACCACCTACCTCGACGTGCCATGGTAGGCTGGGGGAGGTTGGATTATGTTTGGAGATGGTTCAGGGTAGCGAGACTAAGACATGGTACCAGCCGATGAAGTGTCTGATTATTGTTCTTAGTCATATGGGGAGATGTAGACTGATCGGTTGGGGTCCTCGAGACGAAAGGAATCGGTGGTTGAGAACTGACTCCTGGTGAAACGGCTGAAAATCGGTCATAATGGCTCAGATGTATTCACTCCTTAGGATCTTCAAAAGCTTGAATATTTGGACTAACCGTTATCTTCAGATTGTTTATTCTCTGACACAACTTTGTCGATTTTGATATCAGTTTTTCTATCCGCCTTTGAAGTGTGGTAAGTTGAACCGATGTACTTATGTGAGGTTCTACATTAATGCTGTCTGTCTTTATCATGATCTCCGAAGAATCGGTGCTCGCCACAGAATAAAGTATAAACGTTGTCAATGCTTTTTATTTTACTCATTTTCGATACAGTCGCTTAGGGTTGTTGTTAGTTATATCATTTTGCAACATTGGTTCACAAATAACAAAATTTACACCATTACCTGCTAACCTCAGTGACTTATTGCACTGTTTGCTGTGTAATGCTGTATTTTGTCGTGATTCATGTATTCATTTCCTTGAGTATATTATTTAGTAGTAGTGTTAGATGAATTGTCATTACAGACAGTTTTACCATCGTAACTGAAACAGATAGTCATTTTGAGTAACAGTGTAATGAATATTACGCTTCGGACTTTCAGTTTACAGATCTAAAGTAGTCACCACCGCAGGTGATGAGATAGACATTGCCTGTTAATTCCTATGGAGTTACTATGTTTCAGTATAAGTTGAGAATTTATAACCCTCAAATGTGAGCAGCAATAATCCACAGGTCAAAAATGAGTGTAAAGTTGTAGTCTTCACTCTTAACCGCCTATTTCGGTGGGAACATTCCTACAAATGATTGTCGTAGGTAAGGACTTGGACGTGTTTCGCATCGCTAGTGCTAATACAATAAGATTTAATCTTTGATATCCCCCTATCAAGTGATCATTTAGCACACTGATGAAACGATATAAAATTTCGCAAAACGAAATGTGAAGATATTTAAGTAGCATTATTTGTCGTGGATATTCACACTTTTTAGCAATCTAAAGTCAAACGATACATTTGTGTATTGCATAGCAAACTGTACAAATTGTAGAAAAAACAAATTGCAAGTCATAAAAGATTGGATCGATTTGTCTATTCGGTACGATTTACCAAGATGAGTGGATGGTGGATACGCGGTGGGACGAGACTGTATACCGTTTTTGGTCGACTGTTTAATCTCCCTGGTTTTTGATATATAGTTATTCGTATTAAAAATAGGTAAACCATTCTATGAATATTGAATCTGTTGCTTATTGGTCTAAGCACTTGATTTTTAATCAGGAAGTTACATGTTTAAATATTGCTTCCAGGAAAGAATACGAAACTCCGATAATGGATTTTATTTACGATCGTATCATTGATACGTTGTTACGTGTTACAGCCCGTCATATTGGAATTGAAAATGTTAGTTCGTATACGGAGCCGCCTGGTTTGCAAAATGTTTCTAAACATTTACGGGAATTAAGGTATTCAAAATTTCTGGTGACACCTGTGGACAAAAAGCATAGAAATACTATCACCGCAGACCAAGCCAGATCCTATTGATGCAATTCAACAAAATAATTTGGTTTACCAAATCCCTTGCAATGATTGCAAGGTCAAATACGTGGGTGAAAGTAGTCGACCAGGGTCAATTAGAATAACAGAGGACAAAGTGAAGATCAGTAGCTCCTAATCAGGTAAGAAATTTAGAGAAAAGCTCGACTATAGCTCTGCACGCAATTACACATAATCGCAGAGTAGGGTGGGATAGAGTGACAGCATTAAAAAATAACTTATTTGGGTGGAGTGAAAGAGAGATTGATAACCGGATCTTTGTCTATCGAGTCAACACCGAATATATGCGATAGAAGTGATTCTGCACTAGTCGCAGATATGTGGAAAATTCGACTATTCTTTTCACGAAGAAGGAGAGAAAATTAGGACCGTATAAACTGTCCGATGTGAATATCGAGAGTGAATTATGTCTGAGACGTTATCCAGTCAGTGATATTGTTTCACTGTGTGGCATTTCTAATAAACATACTAAAATGGAATTACAATCTACCACAGTGCACAGTCCACATCGTAGCATGGAATTTTTTTATGTATCAACTTGAGGTTGGTTCATGGTAGGTTGGATTAGCAAGTCTAACAGTAAGTTATAACTAGAATAGTAAAGTCGTGGATAATTTGATCGCTGGATTCATGTTTAGCTTTCCAAACGAGCTTCATATTACTCATATTCCCACCTATAGATGAAAACGAGTCTTAATCATGTTTATTAGCTTTTTAGGGTTTGTCTTTGAGTTTGCGTTCTTTCTGTTTCAGTCTACTAGAAATCCAACTTAGTGATTGTTGGACGATTCATGTTGCAGATTACATCAACCTAGTGGGTCAGTTACCCAAAGCTTTCTTTAACCCATCAATAGTTTAACACATTGAAGAGGTATTACTACTTAGTAACCACCTTCCGGAGTTTATTAAAATGTTTTCAAGGTCTTATTAAAGAGAGGGACAGCAATGATATTATTTGTAATTACAACATGCCTAAGAGGGAATTCAAATCGTCTGTAGTGTTGCCATATAAGAAAGGCACGTAGAATTCTTAACAATGCTGGGATTAGAATGGTATTTAAACCTACAAGCTCACTCAAAGAGAAACTTTGTAAGCTGAGATCCAGTAGATGTAGTTAGGGAGTTTAACCTAATCTGTTACATACCATGTAGGGAGTGTACGGTCAAGTACATAGGTCAAAGTAGCCGATCGAGTTCAGTCAGGAAATTCAAGAACAAAAAATTAGCGGAATATAGAACGATAGACCCTACTAAGATAATTAGTCTAGAAAGGAACTCGGCTATCACTCTTCATGCACTGACTCAGTTGCACTATAGGATGGCAGTTCTTAAATCCAATATAACTAAGTCGGAGGGAAGATCGATTACGTAATCCTTCTTTATTAAATCAACACGTAACAGGAATGATTCATCAGATATTTAGAAGACTGTACTGCTATTCATTTAAAAAAAAAGAATAACTGTTGGACTGACTTTATGGGTGAAAGTTGTGCGATTACTTTGGTATGAACATGAGCAATAAATTGTGCTCGGGACTTCGTCCAGTAAGTAGTACTGTATTACAATGGGATGTATCAAGTAAACAATCTATTATGGAGTTCCACATATGCTGAAATAACTGTTCATCTCAAATTAGTAGGTAAGTTACCATAAAAGTAAGGAAATTCAGAATTGCAGAATAGACAAAGCTTCTCTTCAGCTGTTGACAGCCCAGTAATACACGGAATTAATGAAGCCATAATACTTTTGATGAGCAGAAGGGACATGAAAATTGGTTGGGTTTTTTCAGTAGAGGAAATAGCGGGTGATGATATCACAATCATATGACGAATGAGTAGAAGGTCTATCTGTAAATAGTTCGACGAGATTTTTAAGAAATTTTGAGTGGCAAGCAGAAAATGGGTGACTTTAAAGGCCACTCTGACAACGGGTGAAGTAGCCGATTACATTTCTTGATTTTATGAAAAAGTACCTTCCTAATCGAAGCCTGATTAGGTACTTTGGCAGCTGCTAAAGTGGTCTTTAAAGTCGCTCCAGAAAATTAGTGAACACTACTTCAGCAGACGAGTGAAGAACAGTGTGACTATAAGCTATCCCCAAATCGAATTTGGCTGGCTTCTGTTTCCAAGCGACCTTGAGCCACATACGTGAAGTGGGTTTCTCATATCTAGTCGTGCTCAGGTAGTTTGCTATGTGGGACTGGCTGAAGTGTATGTAATATACTCCAAATACTGAGATATTTTGTTGTAAGAGATATTGTCAACAACTACCTTTTGGACACAAGTGGTTAATTTTTTTTGTTTTTTTAGGAAGTATATATCAAGATACGTAACAATGGCTCTGATCCCGTATGTTTCTAACTTCCATTGAGCATCAGTTGGTTTTGTAACATTATTGTGCACTGAGAATTGTCAATTCCCCTGTAATATGCTTGCTACTGGATTTTCCTTTCGTTATTTAATGTTTAATCTGCACTTTAAGTAGGACATCCCAAGCTTCTCAAATGCTGCAGTCTCAGTAGACATAGCATTCCAGGAAGTGGTGTCGTCGAAGTCATTTTTCAGCTGGAAAGCTGTTGAAGAAGCAATCGATGAATTTCAGAGAGTATGTAACTGTTGTATTTTACGGTGAACGTAGGTTACTTGCACTAACTATGTACATTTGAAAAGCAAGGGATCCGGAGATCCTCATTTGAAGTACACTGTTATCGTGTTTAAGTGTACTTTCGGTGTAAAACGTAAACCTCAAGGTATGGGTTTGATAAAAAAAAACAACCGTAATTCCTCCTGTCTATGAGAATAGTCTTAGGTCCAAGTTTCAAAACTGTCCAGCAATGTTTCGTTTTGCATTAAAAACTGAACTGAAACCAGCGGGTAAACAAGATGTAAGGAAAGGTCATGTTATTGGGTCAAAAAATCATCACCAAGGTAAGTTCAGATTAACTGTAGCTTCCTTCTGCACTTAGAAATCAGGCTGGATTCACTTAGTTATAACTGATTCACTAAAATGAAGCAAGGATGTATTCTTTTACTTGAATTTATATCAGCATCATGTTCTGAACTGAAGAAACGACAAGTGATTGCACGTGTAAGTAATTGAAATTTTTTTGGTCGAAAACTTTCCTCAATGTATTTGGAAAGGTGGACTAAAGCCCATCTCTCTGACTAAACATCCAGTATATTTGCTTTCGCAAGTGCATGCGAATTTATAGTGATGATGTGAGACGGGTGGTTACCACTCTATTGGAAGTTATGCACACAGAGCGGTATGGATTTCACCAGTTGAACACATTACACTAAAAATCAGATCGACTTCATTCCAATCTGAAGAAAGTGAAGGCACAGCCAGCCTACTGTAAACAAGATCACGAAGAGGAGAAACAAAGGAAACGATGGTCTGACCACTTCAACAAACTCTTGAATCGACCACCACCACGACCACCTGCAACTCGTTCAGAAATACCACCAACAGCCAGCCCAGTCACAGAACTATCAGTGAACACAAGCCCTCCGACAGAAGCAGAAGTGAAGTCCTGAACGCCATAAAGTTGGTGAAATCCGGGAAAGCAGCACAACCACATGGAGTTCGGTGAGAAGCACTGAAAACAGACGCAGAGACATCAGTGGACATGCTCACACCACTACTGCAGAAGGTTTGGAAGGAATGAAGGAGGGAAGGAAGGAAGTAAAGGTACCTTCTGATCGAATGGAAGAAGGGCTACCTTGTCAAACTCCCAAAGAAGGACGACCTAAGTATTTGCAAGAACTGGCACAGAATCATGCTCCACCGTTGTCCACCTCAAGCAAGATATTAAGTCGCATCATCTTGGAGAGACTAAAAGATGGGGTGGACTCAAAATTACGACCGGAACAGGCTGGCTGGCTGGCTGGCTTCAGGAAGAACACATCATGTGCGGATCAGACTGCAATGCTACGCTAGGCATCATCATAGAACAGAGCATAGAATGACAGTCAACTGGATCTCGAGCTCAACTTCATGGACTCAGAAAAGTCCTTCGACAGCAACGACCGAGAAGTAGTTTGGCAGACGGCTGCTCCAACACTTCGGTTTCAGTGCCACAAACCTTTATCAAGCTTATTCAACAGCAGCTATATGCTATATGGTGATGCTACATGCCGAGTAATTCACAATAGAAAGCAGAGTGATGGCTTTGAAGTGAAGATAGGTTGACAGGTAGGACAAGGTTGTGGTCGACTGGACTGGATCATGCAACAAACTGTGAGGAGCTGTGAGAAGATGGGCATACACTGGCTGGACCGATGAAAAGACCCTACACGATTTGGATGTCAGCAACGATGATGATTTATGTCTACTGTCTTGTCGCAGAAACTCGAAGATCTACAGGCGAAAACTAACAAGTTGGCAGAAAGAGGCATGACAACGAAGGAAGACGGGACTGACTTCAGTTGAAGGTGGAGAGGACAGAGGCGATGAAGATACCCAACCAACCAACCAACAACAACAAGCACCAATCACCATCAACGGGAGAAACTTAAAGGAAGTCTCTTTCATTTATCTATCTTCTCAACTACAGGCGGCACTGACCTAGATTAGGATGTCAAAGCCGGGATCGGAATGAGAGCAAGACAGGCCTTCCTTCATTAATCTGAAATCAGTGTGGAGATCTGCTGCACTGCACTTTACTCAGCATATAGCCTGAACAAGATCTGAATTTTCAACACTAATTCGGTCAAGTCCGTGCTTTTATGTGATGCTTGGGAGACTTGGGACGTCACGAAAAGCATTTCCAACAAATTGCAGACATATATAAACAGTTGACGCCTACGCCCACTGGATACTGAAGATGAGTTCAGATGGCCAGAAAGAATAAGCAACAAGGAACTCACTCTGGCTGGCAACAAACCAACCAAGAACCCATCGCCCAACA